CAATCAGTATACTAGTAACAAAGAATTCTTGTGAATAAGTTGTTCCTTTCTAATAAACAACTCAAAAGAAATATCAATAGATACTACAGTGAGATCTGAATTGCCAAGTGGGCAGAGTTGTGATGGTCTACAAGAGCCAGGAGAAAAGGCAAATAAAGTAAAGAAGAATGTTGAACAAATTTATCAGGGGAATGAGTAGGGAAATCTACTCATTGGCAGTTAATGAGCAACAGAAAAATAAAGTCTGAATACTGGCAACATCAGTAACATTAGAATGATTAAACCACTTTACATGATGAGCATCAAAATCACCAAACACAAATCTATTCTACAGATAGACATAGCGAAAAAGCCATTTCTATATTACCAGAAATATTGTTTAATATATTACAGTCCTGAGAAGAAGGAGAGTGATAAAAGAAATAGCTAACAGAATACATTAACAAAAGTTGAAAGTATATGAAAGAAATATCTGGAGACTCAAGTGAGAATTCCATTGCAATTGGGAGATTTTCCTGAATATAAACACTAAGATCATGTATATGTATATAGGGAAATAAATTTTCCACTATCACGGAATTGTGGAATCCTTAATCTTAGATGGAATCTGGGTCTTTCATACAATTTTCAATAATGAATAACAAATTAACTATTTGATATTTTTTTTTTTTTTTTTTTGTAGAATATGTTGGCTAGTCTAAAGTATTTTATAAATTTTCTAGGAAACTGTATGTTGCAAATGAGATGAAAGTCAGAAGGTCACAGCAACCAAAATTTATTGCTAAAGTAGAAATGGAAGGCAGACACTAGTTGATGTCAAAATTGGAGGGGGTAGAGAGATGAAGATCAAACCAATAAGTTTAAGAAATTCATTTCCTTTAGGCTCACACAATTTTTAAAAAGATTCTAAACAACTTGTAAGCTTGTCTTATGAATAGACAAAAGTAAATGCTGTCACGTGCCTACCATACAATTGTGAAATAAAGAAAAAACAATTCTCCAAAAACACCATTTTATGAAATAACTGGTTGTCTAAGCTGTCACACAGCAATTCTCTTGGAGTAATAATTGCATCATCTTCAGTGCTTCACCATTGTAAACAAATTTAAATTGAACAAAAAAAATCCTTTACTAACATTAACGGTCAATGATTATTTTTTAATATTTTCTTTATATTTTGTAATCTAAACCAGTTCTATGATGAAACAACAAATTCACAAGATGACTGAATCTAGTCAATGTAGTTAATCAACCTCAAAAGTTTGGCCTGTTCCTCTAAAAACAAAAAAAAAATATCCCAGTCTCTAAAATTTGTTCTAAAGCCAAAGTAGAGCAATTTCCTGATGGCTTTTATGCAGAAGAAAATGTTATTTTGAAAATTCTGTCTCCATAGTGTTGACATTTTTAGGGTTGACACAATCAAAGATCACATCAAATCAAAAACTCATTTGACAAAAGAGTCTTAAAAATGTCGGCTCAACAAAACAGAAGATAATCACAACTTTGTTGAAGAGTAAAGAGGTACAATAGGATTTTGTCCTTGATGTTTTTTTTTTTTTTTTTTTGAAAATGTGCACTTTGTCTGACATTCCTCTACACAAAATGGACAAAATGAGGCCATTCATATTAAAACATTGTAAAGAAGGTGGTACTATTTCAAGTGTCAATTGTGTTAGGCAACTTCCTCTACCAAAATGGTTTGCTTGTCACTTTGCTGCCCTGAAAACCAAGCTTGCTAATCAATAAGTCAGTATCATAAGAGATGAAACAACTGTCATGACCACAGCATTTTGAATGTAATTGCAATCATTCATGGGGAGTCCTTTCTCATTGATGTTGTGACCTTGAGAGAATGCAATCATCAAACTGTAAGCCAGGCATGAATCAGAGCTGTAACTTGTGTGGATATTGCATTTGAGGATATTATTGCCTTTGTAACAGATTCCCCAGCCTATTGCAAAAAAGCTCATAAGGAAGTGTTGTCAAATGTCTTTATTAACAGTTGTCATGTGTTGTACTTATCACATATTTTAATTCTTGTTGGTGAAGTATTTCAACACTGGCCAACATTTGATATTTATACCCACCTCACTACTTTCAAGTCAGCCTTCTTTAAAAAACCTAGTTGGAAAAAGTGATACTTAAAATGACTTGAAAGTTCCTTGCCTAAAGAACAAGTGAAACTACCACCTGTACCAGTGGCAACCAGATGGAATTCCTGGTTTAATGAGGTCAAATATCACTCATCCTTTGTACAGTTTTATGAAGGATTCTTTAAAGCAAGGAAAGAGCCATGGCCTTGCAGTAGGTAGGATTCTAGAATTAGTAGATGATGGTCAACTACATCATGCCTCTTACTGTAATTTGTGCTTAAATCAGTATTTTATAAATGAGAATTCCACTCGTTTAATAACAGCTTTGACAAATTTAGAAGAAACTAAGTTCCCGCTTACATGTGTCGTATATAACATGATGGAGGATGTAAAACAGTATTTGCATACTGCTACATCAAAATCGGCATTTGGCCTAGAAACTGATTGTCCTCTGTTTAAACTAGAAAACACAGGGGGAGAGACTTATCTCAAATTTCCAAGATTTTTTTTCAGCACATCTTTTTTGAAACTGAATAAATACTTGGATACCTACCCTATGTATAACTTTTACAAGGCAGCTTGCCTGTTTGAACCTAGACAGCCTACCCTGTAAGGGCCATGATTTAGACAGTTTTGCAGCCATCAAGGACTAGCAATGTCTTTCTACTGATGTATGTGAATTACCAAGATGATTTACCAAATCTTTTTAATATCCCATCATTTTGGAATGCAAATAAAATGTTTGAATTTATACAGATATTTAATGAATTCAAGTTATTTGCTGTTGATACTTTAAATGTGATTTTTATATTATGAATCGATAATTATAAATCAGTCTAAATCATTTTACTTAAAAAAACAAAAAACAAAAAAAAACAATAATTCGAATGTGTTTTGAACATATTCTTAAAGAAAAAAGCTCTGATTAAAAGTTCTACCTTAAAGATATGCACTGTAACATTCCATTGTTTTATTGTCTAGTCATCTTACTTTTTCTTTCTTTTTTATTTTTACATATTTATTTTTGGACTTGGATTTTAACATTTAAAAAAAGATTTGTAGATATTTATTATTTCTTTATATGCAGTAAAACTTTGAATTATATTTTTGTTTTCAGTTTTAATAATAATTATAACTTATTATATTGCAATTGTTTTCATAAAATACTATAAAAATGGAAAAAATGAAATTTTCCAAAAGTAAAAATGGAAAAAACGGAATTTACCAAAAGTGAAAATGAAATCAAGGAAAATTTGAAACAGAAAATTGAGGGCCCTATGTATTCTAGAATCTTTTCTGTGACAAGGAAGATGTCTGGGAACAGAGAATTCATTGGTAAAAATAGAAAAATTTAAATTAGTTTCACAAGGTGTGAAGATATATGAAGGCTACTTCAAGGGAAAAAGATTCAGTACTACAGAAATTAGAATGAATGCTACAAATATGAGAGAAAGAAAGGTTGTGAGAGGCAGGGGTTCTTATGTATTTATTTTCATCTTAACTGTCATAAGACTTGTGTTAAGAAGAAAAAGGTTAAAATAATTATCTATTGTTTATGGCAATACAAACTGGACAGAAGATAGCTAAAACTAAAGTATAATGTGGCATCGGGGTTGCCCACCAGCAATACATTCAGAGACACCTAATCATATATGATATGGTACTACAAATACCTCAATATTATGCAACTGTTGATAAAAGAAGCCTCTCTAAGTAGTCAGAAGAAGAAGCCAGAAAACTGCCAACCCAGTACCCTCATAATAATAAGTTGCAACCACTGATCAGTCAGATCACCAAATAGTAAAATCATTATAGCCATGGAAGAACTGGTAAACCATATCCTAACTGGGAATCAAGGGATAAAGCTATATTCCTGTTCATTAAACATGGAAGGAGTACTGACCAGGCAATAGGCTAACCTATTTACTCCTATTAATCTGTTTACAGCACAGGCTGGGTGCTTTTATCAAGACACCATCTCTAGGAAGGTTACTGAATAAGGTTCTAGATCCATTCCAGGCCAAGGGAAATTATTAAATTATAAAACTTCTCTTAAGGTTATCACAAGAGTTGAAATCAAAATAATATCAACATAAAATTAGATCACTTAATCTAGTTTATAATCAAAAGTTTAAACAGACACACAGGACATTGGGATAAAGACTTTGTTGTCAAATGGACCACTTCCCTACATACAATCTGCTAGTGGCCCAATAGCAATGCCAGCAGTCCCACAGTGACAGTCACCAATAATGATGACATTGCCGATAGGAACATGCCAGCAGTCCCACAGTGAGTCACCAGTAGTAAACACTAGTGACATGCCACCTAGTGGCAGATTGGTGGCTTGCGTGTAGGGTTATTCTTATCATTATCATAATTTCTGTTTAAATGACAAATAATAGCATTCCAAATTTAAAAAGTTGAAAGGATTGTATGTTATTGTCATGGATTTTAACCATCCAGTATGACTCCCATTTTCTGCATTAACACTGTAAGGCAGGCTACCAAAAATATGTAAAGATTTACTTTAGAATGCTCCTTCTCTTGAGGGTTGCAATGTTTTCCTTCTTGTTTTGATCCTGTGATAGTTTTTTTTTTTTTATCCATGTTAGAAATGATTCATAATATTATTTCCAATATTAAATTGTGATTATGGTACATGAGTTGGTTTCAATAAAATTTGGTCAAACATGTACAAATGTGCACACAAGATGTCAAGAAGATAGTTATCCCCATGACACTGCTATTATTTTAACTACCTCTAAAAATAAAACTTATGGTGCTTAAAAAAAATCTAATGTTTAAACTTAAGTGAGATCTTTTATCCTTTTTTAATATTTTTTAATATTTGTTTATATTTTGTTTTATTTATTTATTTATTTAACAATGTTATCTATCCACCAGGTCTTCTCTTGGAGTGGTTCAATTGAAATTGGTGTTACAACTTGTGATCCTGCTACTTTGAATTTCCCAGTCAGTGCATCATCCTTTCGTGAAGGAACATGGGTAATGTCTGGCAACACCATTATGAAAGATGGCCATTCAATAAATGAAGAGTATGATTGTGATTTAGACAGACTTTCAGAAGGTGATCGTGTTGGAGTGATGAGAACTGCCCAAGGAGCATTACACTTCTTTATTAATGATGTTGATCATGGTCCAGCAGCTACAGGAATTCCAAATAAAGTCTATGCAGTTGTTGATATGTATGGAAAATGTGCTCAAGTTACTATTGTGGATGACAGTATTAGACAAAACAGTAAGTTTGTATAAATAATTTATACATTCAAATTGTTCATAATAAATGCTACTGTATATTTTAATAGCTAAGATTATCTTTCTTGGTAGTAAGAGAACAAAACTTATAAGTTAAATTGTAATACAATCTATTTTAATTTTGCTTTTTCAAACAGTATTTATATATATTTTTCATATCAACCCTTCAGTATTATGCTAAAAGGTTGATATGAAAAATATATTTATTTTATTTATATACAATGAGATCTTGATATGATTTTCAGATGGGTTTATTACATACATTTACATGCAAATAATTTTGGGAAAGGTTTGAATCTATAACTTCCCTCTGCTATGGGTTAAATAGTAGGACATGTTTCTGAAAAAATTATTCTCCAAAAATTGTTAATACAATATTCACTCACAAAAATATGACTTGTACTCGCAATCCAAATAAGCCACAAAGGCTTTATTGGATTTTTGTATATCAAACCTGTTATTTTTAAGTGTATCTAAAAAAAATTATTTTTCAAATGTTCCTAGTTCAGTCCCTGTCACTTCACTGCAAAATGATAAAATTTCAAATCTAAATTGTTTGTCCATTTAAAATTATGTTTATTAGAAAATATAATCAATTTAAATACAAGAATCATAAAAATGACATTAAGTTTGCACATTCTGGTTTATACACTTTTCCTGTTATCCAGGGTTTGTTGCCAGACTGGGGAAATTAGCCCCTACAACACTGATTTTCATTTTACTTTCATTCAGATTTTGTGTGTGCATGTAAGTTTGTATTTTCATGTCTGCATGTAAATTTATTTCAATGGCATACCTGAAAATATATCTGCAAGCTTAAAAAAAGCTATTTATTACCAAATAATTTTCCAAAAGTTCATTAAAATCAGTTTTTAGGTTTTAAAAAAAAAATTAACATTTCCTTGTCTCCTATTTTATAATTTTATTGCTCAGCCCAAAGTAGGAGTTGTCCAGACTGAGTGGGAGAGGAATGCATTTTTCAATGTCTTGTTTGAAATTGTCAATTCGTGTGTGCACGTGCACATATGTACTTGTTTGTATATTAAATGACATATGTAAATTACTCCTACACAATACTGATATACACGTATATATGTATATGCAAATAATCATTTTTTTATCGTAGATTTACGAATAAAAGCTAAATTAAACGTTATATTTGATTAGTTAATTTAAACGTGAAGTTTGTTTTGCACAATAAATATCTTGACATCTTTAATGATTTCAGTCTCTGGATAAAAAGGTGGAATCATAAATTTAATTTGACATAAAGCTGATCTTTAAACTTAATACATTCCTTTTCTTTTATTCATCTATTTAAAAAAAATCAATTTTGTTTTTTGTTTCAGCCTTCAATAGCAATATTGTAAGTGAATTAGCCAATGAATTTTTGGCTGAGCTGTCAAATCAAGTTGCTAACAACATGAGCCAAGGTGCAACTGGTGCTGTATCTGTATCAGACTCTAGTTACAATGCTATATTCAATGATAATGCTGCTGGAGCATCCAACACTGTTGCCTCTGCACCTGTAAATCTTTGTGCAGGTGTAGGAAGTGGTATGGCTGGAGGAGGAGGAGACACACATTTGTCACGCTCAAATGAAAGACTAGTTTTTCATGAAAAATGTGGTGGACTAGTTAAGTTGACAAATGGTAGACGGACTGCAGAAAGGACACGACCACTTGATGAATTTAATAATGGTGTTGTTATGACTAACAGACCCTTAAAAGATGATGAAATTTTCGAGGTATGCTTCATAAAATTTATATTTGGTTATTTCATTGATAAAATAACTTATAAAATGCTTTCTGTTTGTTTGTTTTTTTTTTGTTTTTTTTTAATAAAGCTTTTAAAATATGGAAAGAATTATAAAGTTTCAATTTAAAGTAAAAAGCAATTATAAAATAATTTAGGTTTTCACTTCTTTTCTTTTTTTTAATAATATTATATAATCAAAAGTTAATAACTACACCTTTATATATTAATAAATTGCATTTGTTTTCTCAGGTTCTTAGCAATTATTGAAAGATAAGTTTTTCAAGAAAATGAAGGATTTTAAATAGCACTTATATATACATCTATAAGTCTAATGATGAAAAAAAATTTATCTTACACTTTTTTTTAAACAAAACTTCTCCATAAATCAAACATTATACAATGAAAATTTCATTCAGCTAATAGCTATTAGGCTACAGAATTACTGATCTACCCATTTTATGTGCAATTGTAATATTAATAATTTGTTTTACTTATGAATCAAACTTACTTGAAGTGTTTTTTGTTTTTTTTTTCTAATTTTTGTTTAAAATCAAAAGTACATGTAGGAAATACTATAAATATATAAATAAATATTGTTTACTATTCTGTAGATTAATGTAAGTTAAAACCTGACAGAAAAATGATGTTACTCTAAAAGTATATCTGTAAAGAAAATAGATAAGAAAAACAAATATTTCTCCTTTCATAACATACAGACTTTTAAATCTGGTTTATTGCCATATGATCACTGAAGTCAGCCTGGTCAATACCAGGATGGGTAACCACTTGGAAACAGTGGGTGGTGTAAGCTTGTGTGAGTGGTGTAATGGATAATGGCTCGTAATTATTAATCAGATAGCTGAGTTTCAATTCCTATTGGGTTTGTTATATGCACTTATTTGCAAATGCACTTGAGAAAAGTATGAATCAACCTCTTCTCACCCAGCTATGGGTTAATTAGTAAAATTTGTATTACTAAACCATTATTACTCAACCAAAAAAAAATAATTAGAAACTAAACACATTTTCTGGCTTTAAATAATTTGCAACCTTATAAGCTGTAGAAAATTATTCCATTTTGATAAATGCTTTATTTTCCCAAATTGATATATACATTTAATACTTTGCAAATTGCCTTTTCTTTTCTCTTCTTTTAATAGTAGTACATTTAACTTTTAGATTCGTCTTGATGAACTTGTTGATAAATGGTCAGGGTCTATAGAAGTTGGTGTGACAACTCACAACCCTACACTCTTGGATTTCCCTCCAACAATGACGAACATGAGATCAGGTAAGAGTAAGTTCAGATTCAGTTTTTTTCTTCCCCCTTTCCCTTGCTGTTATTTCATTTATTTTTTTCTTTCTAAAGAGAAAAATAATTGAAATTGGCTCAGAATTAAGTTGACATATTTAAAAATTATATAACATTTCAAACTAATGAATAAAAATTCTTGGTTATAGAGCTTATAATATTTTTTCTCTTTTATTTATTTTAGTATTTATAATAATAGGATAATTTCTAGAGTTCCAATTCCTAAAGTGATAAAATCCCAAATCTGGAATATGAATATCAAATAACCACATATACCAAAATTCTTATTAAAAGAAAATTAATTTGTCATTGCTTTTACAGCAAGTGTGAATGAGGTTTGGTTGCAAATTTTGGCACTATGGGTTAAATGATATGCTCATTTAAAAAAAAAAATTCTTTTCAAATAATTTTTGTAGATTAGCATTCATTAAACTTTCTTCTAAGCACAACATTTGTCAAAATTGAAAAATATTAAATTTTAGAGTGGGTGTCATGTTCATAATATAGTGTTATATTGAACCCTGACTTTTAAGAATTCTCTGTACTTTATTTAACAAATGTCATGTTTGAAACTGCCCACATCATTAATAACTGCATACTACTGACTTTTTTTTTTTTTTAAATATTTATTTTAAATAAGAACACACGTACACATTTTTATCAATGTAAATGCTATTTTTAGTGATTACTTATATATTAGATGCTCCATTTATTTATTACACAGTATGTCTTTTTTTTTTTCTTTTTTTTTTTTTTTTTTTTACCAGTCTGAATATTTGAGAAATCTCCTTAAAGAAAAATATGTGCTCTTCAGCAGGGTTTGAACTTGCATACATCTTGGTAGAGGGAAACCATTATTAGATCCAATATACAAAATCCTTCTATTCAATTCCTCAAAATTTTCATGCCTGTTCAGTTTTGTATGTAAAAGTAATTTTCTAGGGTAATAGATTTTATTTATCAATCCAACAGATTTTTATCACTTTAAACATTATTTTTAGTCTCTATTCATATTTGAATAGACAGTATATTTATTTTCATTTACTGGCCTAAATATTAAAAAATATGCTCTCTCTGGCAGGATTTGAACCTGTGTGCCTTTTAAGCAAAATCCTTCAAATATGAAAATTTTGAGGATTTTAATATCTGCCCAGTTTCATTATCCAAACATAAACCAATTTTCTTCCACATGCACTTAATATTGTTTGTTTTACCTGTGTTGCCAGATCCACTAAGTTTTGACTGTGATTCACTTTGTGGTGAATATAAACTGGATTAACTCTTATCTGGCTTATCTTTTCATATGCCTTCCAGCTGTTAGAATAGATAACAATGTTTCCTACTTCAATTTTTTTTTTTTTTTTTTTTTTTTTTTTACTGGAGAAGTGTATCTGCAGACTGCTTACACACAAATTTCAGGTAGCCAAACTTTCCGGCAGTAATGTCATAAATGCCAAATAGCCATCATTCTTGGACATAATGAATCTTTCACATATGCAGAGATATGTTCATAAAATAGTCTTTTAAATAAATTAATAAATAACCTAAAAAAAATGAATATATCCATTTTGAAGGAATTTGCATAAACACATGGAGTAATAATTACTCCATGTGTTTATGCAAATTCCTTTTTTAATTTTTAAAATTGTTTTAAAAAGAATGAAGAAAATATTGAATTGTGAAAAAAAGACTGCAGCAAAAGAATGAAGTGGGCACAGTTTTGAATCTGATATTTGTAAATAAAATGATGGTAAAATTAATTGATTTGCTGCTCTATATTATGAACATGCACACACACACACACCCTTATAAAATGGTAAAAATATATTTTTCAATTCCAACAGAAGTTATGCTTGCATTAAAATCTAAAGAATGCTGATGTACAGAAATTTTTAAAAACCACCAAAATTCCTTTTATTTTTATTTTTATTTTTTTTTTTTACAAGTGGACCAGTTAACATCAGTAGTGCCCAAATTTTTTAAAACTGTCAAAATTCACTTTTGATCAAAGACAATAAATTACTGCTACCAACTTTAATATTGGTCTAGTCACTTTTTTTCTTTAAAAATCTAATAAATTGACTAAGTTACAAAATTTTTAGTCTGTAATCATGTTGAAACATACATAATGTATAGGCTTAATTTTTTTTTTTTTTTTTTTTTTTACATTTAACAAGATTCTTTATATAAAAATAGTTTTTATTCATAAAATCCAAATTCTTTGCTTCAGTAAAATAATTACTTTTTTTGTAATAAATTTAATTATATTGTCTCTACATTTCTTAAAATAAAATTTTGTTTATTGTCTGGAAAAAAAAAACAACATTTAACTTTCTGTTTAAGCCAGATTTCATTGAAGTAAATATAAATTTTTGCATTTCTTATTTTATTTCTTATTTGATATATCATGCCAAACTTGCAAATTAAATTACCAATAATATATAAACTTTACTCCCATATTGTAATTCTGCTTATTCAATAGAAAGAAGAGGACAAAACACAGGTGAGATGACATCTGGTGAACGAGGAGGAGGAGGAGGAGGAAACTAAAGATTTCATCATTAAATAAGTAGGAAGTGTGTTGTGAGAATGTTTTCCTAGGTGCTTTCATTTAGGAGATAAATTTATTTTTAATTTTTTAAATTTAATTTACCCAAATCCCTCTAGTTTATTTGCAACTTGTATATAAATAATTTTTAAAATTTGAAAATAATTAAACAGTTACAATTTGAAAATAGTTTAGTGAATGAAAATGATGTCAATGGAGTAAATCTTCTGTAAACTTTAGAATAATTTGATATTAATTAATATTGAACATTAGAAATAACCTATGTTGGAATATACATCTCTACAAAAAATTAGTTTTTAATAAAAGGCCTAATCTTTTTGTGCATGTTCATGAACTCTAGATTTTTCATCAGAAGTGAAACTATTACGTTAGTTGTTATTTTACAAACTTTGTTATTTTACAAACTTTGTTATTTTTACTTTGTTTTTTAGATTGCAAAATAGCATTTATTTATTTTTTATTTTACTTTAGATATCAAAGAGACATTTTTATTTATTTACTTGTTAAGCACCAAATGACACCATAACATCCCCTTCTTGAAATTCACACCTTGTCTTCATTTTGTTCTTTGCACACTGCTGTGACTAATACATGCTTTACAAGGAGGATATTTAATCTCTATGAAATCCATCTCATTCTGTACTTGATCTACACATGTAAGCAAAAATATCTGTTGAAAGTGTAAAGCTTTTTAACTTAAATCACCAGAATTATTGGTTTTTCAGTTTGATTGCAAGTTAGGGAAAATAAATCTTGTAATTTTTTTTGAATGATTTAAAATACTACTTAGTAATAGTAAGAACTCCACTATTCTAGCTGAAAATTTGTTTCCCGTGTAACATAAAAGATAACATTTTTTTAAACTAATTTTGACTTTGAAAGAAGTGGGGGTAAAATTGAAATTTATTTATATATCCTAATCTAATGCATGTGAATCTTTTGAATTTATTTTTTAAAGTTCCAAAATGTCCAATAATTGTATAGTACTCCAAATAATATTTTCATGTTTTGTTTGTTTTTTACTTTTATAATGAAAAATGATTAACAATTGCTTAACTTACTAATATATATTTAACTTACTAATATATATTTCAGCTGTAGAAATGTTATTTGTATATGTTTATTGCTTTGATTAATTTTTTTTTTTTTTTTTTTTATTATATAATGAAATGATTTTGGTGGTGTTATATTCTGTATTGCAAAGTATGTTACGTATTGATATAGGTACCATAATGATGAGTGGCTGTGGTATCCTCACCAATGGGAAAGGCACTAGAAGGGAGTATGGAGAATTCAATCTGGATGATCTCGCTGTAAGTGTCTCTATCTATGAAGATATATATCATCAAAAAAACAATTATAATCAATACTGATGCTGCATTATGCAAATTAATAAAGTTGAAATGATAGTTTAAAAATGGAATCCATTTTAGTGAAAAATCAAATAATTACATCTTGTTTTAATGGAGTCCTTTAAATTTGTTTTTAAATTTCATAACATTAGACATTATTTTAACATTATGCTCTCATAGAAATATTTGAGCTTTATTATTTTGAACAAATAAAAATGCCACAACTTCAATGAAAGCTACTTCAAGATAATAAATGTAGAATACCTATGGACGATAATGTGAATGTCCCCATTCACATAAATACAGTAGTAAATACTGTATGTTGGTCTGCAGTTGGAGATTTGTCTCCAGCTGTGCTGGTCAAACTCTCTGCCTCTGGGTAGAGAGGGTCCCCAGATGAGGCTATGTCAAAGGGCAGAATCTCATCTTGGGGAAACAGCTACATGACCCCATTTATACGGGGTCTACAGGGAATTTTTGGCCGAGCCTACAGGCTCAGATACCCAACATTAAATTTGGTCTTGTGCCACATCTGACCACATGGGGCGGTTGGTAGATATCCTGCAGTTGGAGATTCATTGTGGAATTCACTTGACTCAATTCTAGCAGTTGACTACTTCTTTTACACACTGCTAGCAAACCTTATGTGTTGTTCTTGTCCTAAGTATTATCGTTCATTACCAACCTTCATTTATTTTATTCAGTAACCTTCCCTAGGTTACAACAATAAATATATTAGTTATCACTATGAATGTGTTATATTAAAAATGTTAACATCTGTATCATTTGAAGAAACTTGTGTAAGAAATTAAAAGTAGGGGGGGGGCAACCTGGACAGCTTCTAAGACCTTTAGGTGCATTCTCAACAACTGCAAAAAGTTGTTGCTTCATGCCTGCAGAACAGGAGAACATGATCTCTAGAATTATGAAATGCTCACAACATAAGAGAAAACACTTTTTCTATAGTATTATATTTTATAATATACTCGTATTTCAAGGTTATTACTTTATTCTTTACTGAAAATAGATCTTTCATATACTTTGATTCAAATTCACTTTTTCAAATAAATATTCTAATATTTATATTAATTGTGTAATTGCTTACAGTTCTGTGTGTATGTAAAAAAAAATATATAAAAACTCAAATTCTATTTTTGTTCCCTACTGCATGATGCCCATCAGGCATAAATTTGTTATGCCTGATGTTTGTCTTCCACATGCTACTTTGAGTAGCATCATGTAGTAATGAACAATATAATTATTCAATACATATATTAACACTTTTGTTTTGTATTGACTACTGTGTTTTTTCTTTCATTCACACATATATATATATATATATATATATATATATATATATATATATGAAAGTAATAAATTGTGGTGGTTAACAGTTTAAAAATGAAACTATTTTGTCTACAAGTATGGCCTAGCACAATGTTTCTCAGAATCCCAGATTGTGTTCCTACCCTTGTAAACCTAGGTTTCATCAGTTCCTCTCCCCCATTTTGAATTGTCATTTTTTTCATTGTTATACTTTTACCATGGTACTTACCATTTGTTTGAATGAAGAAATTAAACTTACAAAAATTAGATATTTCTCAAAGTACATTCTGTAAGCCACTTTTTTAAATCTCTGATTAAATTGTCCCAAATAGGATTAAGTTTAAGGTGGCAGGTTTTGTGAGCAGTTAATTAATTGCATATATATATATATATATATATATATGAAAATTCCCCCTTAGAAATAAGTTTAATATATAAATCTACAGTAAAAACAATGTTAATACAGAGTAAAAAGTTTATGCAGGAGCAAATGAAAGACTTTAAAAGTTTTATAATCATAAAATCTCTTTTTGAGAGTAAAACACTTTCAAAATATATATAGGAACAAAAAGAAAAACATCTTTATTAACATATATACTTGGAAGAAAAATTCCAAATAATTAGTTTCAAAACTCAATAAATTGCTAAATAAGACCAAATTCCTAGGCAAATACAGGCATTAATGAACACCTAATTTGTTATATAAAACCAAACTTTAAAAAAAATGATTTATTCATATCCATTTACTTACTTAGCTAGCCAACTCCAAAATATATATACTGCATTTATACTGTAATTTAATTACATAAACTTCTTTGTGGAACTGACGCTCAAGAGCATGCTTCACCGATCACTACAATCTTAATCTGTTCATGTCTAGGATTAACTATTATCTTCCTTACATGTCCTCATAAGCTGTACCCTCTTACTTCTTACTCTGTAACCTTTTATCTCCAGTTGCTTTTGGGCTTTGTACAAAGTGAACATTATTGTACAAAAAAAAAAGCTATCAAACCAATCATGATTTTAAACATTGTGATAATATAACTGATATCCTTAATATTTAAAACTCAAATAAGTCAGGGCCCTTCATTAGATTAAGAATTTACTTTTACACAAATCCTTATCCAAAACAAAAGTCTTTGACTACACACATCATTCACCTCAGAAGTCATATTTATATCTATCTGAATATACCTAAATGTAGTATTTCAAGATTGTAATGACAAATGTTCATTTATAATTTCTATTACTAAAAAAATTTAAAAATTACACAAAATGGTTCAGAGTTAACTTTTTATAATTTTATAAATTAAGTTTTATGCTTAATTATTGCTAATTATTTTGGTGCAATGTCTCTTGATGCAATCAAAGTGGAATAAAGTATAACATAAACTTGGATAATTGAATTAATTCTTGTATATTCCAAAATATTATTTGACCATATTGCTAATTTAGAACTTTATATAAAAGAATTATATAAACCTCCAAAAAATTGCACAAACTAATTTTATGAATTTTAATTTGATTCTAAATTTTTTATGCTGGTCACTGTTTGAAATAATGTTTTGACAATAAATTAATTTGCAGGTTGGGGACCGCATAGGACTGGTCCGAAAATCAAATGGATCCCTTCATTACTTTATCAATGGTATGGATCAGGGAATAGCTGCTACAGATGTTACCCCAACTGTATGGGGTGTTGTAGATCTTTATGGCATGGCTGTTAAGGTCACTATTGTGGATGGAGGCCCAGTTAAAACACCAGTTTGTAATAATGATTGTATGCCTATGCAAGCAACTAACAGTGAGGCTATCTCTACTCCAGACACATCTGCCGCAGCCGCTGCTGCTGTAGCTGGTGCTGCTGGCGGTGACCAAAGAAGAAACAATGCATTCCAATTTTACTCAGACATGCAGGAAGATGTTGCAGAAGGTGACTAATTTGAGATGTATATCATATAAATGTTTTATAAACTTATCATAGTCTGATACAAGGCAAAGTATTTCATAGCACATTTTCATAATTATATATATTTTTTTTATCCATATTATTTTATATTATTAAATATACAAAGTAAATTTATTAAACATTTCTGATCTTCGGCTTTAATGCTATAATCAGCATCTTTTTAATGTTATTAAATGATCTATGCTAAAGATTAGGTTATTCAAGTATATTTCATAAAGTGTGTTTTAGTATTTATAAGTCATTAATATAAATATATATGAAATACTGTTGCTACTCGGTGTCCCCTTATAGCCAAACAATAGACCCATCAGCACCAATTCACTGGCAGAAGAGCAAGTTAGCACTCTTTTTGGCAATTCTTTAATATATGTAATTGCTATTCTCTAATATTTACTGATTGTGGTATATCACATTTCTGTGTGGTTGCCACCAGCTTACTGTAACTTATTGAGCATCATGTGTCAACTGGAGTCTGTATGAACAAGGTCAGCAGTCCATGTATTACAGATTTCACATCAGGTTATGTTAATCAACTAAGTTAGCATGTGCTGTCAATCTCTGTCAGATGCTTTTATTGTTAATGTTCCCTTTTGTCAATGAACTGGTGTCATATTTATTGTTTGACACCATTTGTTACACTTTTGCTCTTCCATAATTTCTTTATTGAACATCTTATCATTGGGTGTTTAGTAAGACCACATATGTCATATATTTTAAAGAGTGTGTTAATGATACTTTTAAAAATGCTAAATGCTACAATTATATTTAACCTTTCTCTTACTTTTTATTTAAAACCATTGTCTAATGAAATTTACAAAGAATAATCTTTTTTTTTTTTTCTTTTTAAGTTAATGGAGAAAAATTGTTATTCCATCCGTACTGTGGGTTTCATGCTGCAGTGATTAATGGGCATAGGACAGCATTTCGACCCAAGTAAGTTAACTTTCTTTTTCTGTTTTTCCTGTTTTTTTTTTTTTTATTTTTTCGTTTTACATCTTTTTTTCGTTTTACATCTTTTTTTCGTTTTACATCTTTTTTTTTGTTTTTTTTTTTTGTTTTTTTCCAGTTTACAGTTTGTTTGTTTGTTTGTTTTTTTTTTTTTTTTTTTTTTTTTTTCCTCCAATCCCTACTTAAAAAAAAAAATATTGATATAATCATGCCTAGTGTAATCCAGTAGAAATGATCGCGTCATTTTTCAGTGCTCATGAAGATTTCAACTATGGTGTAGTGCTGACCAATCGCCCGCTCAAGCCTAATGAGTTATTTGAGGTGCGTATTGACAAAATGATCGATAAGTGGGCTGGTTCTATAGAAATAGGTGTAACAACACATTCGCCCACGAGTCTGGAGTTCCCTTCTACCATGACCAATGTCCGTTCTGGCACCTGGATGATGACTACTAATGGGGTCATGCACAATGGGACTACAGTCATGGATGAGTATGGACAAAGCCTAGACAGACTCAAAGTAAGTAAACAGTTTTTTTATCCCCCCCCTCTTCTTGAACTTTATGTATTTAGTAATTTGATGGGAATAGTTAATTTGTTCTGTAAGACAGAAAGGAATACTACTACTACTTTTAGTAGATGAGTTTTTAATACTTTTTGTCTTACTTCACTAGTAGTTCAGTACCTATCACTTTGCTGTAACATAATCAAATTTCAAATATGAATTGTTTGTTCATTTAAAGTACTACATTTATCAGAAAATATATTAATTTAATCACTGATGTGTGCCAGATCATCAAACAAAAGTAGTTCATGAAATGCAGGAGTCATAATAATGACTTTAATGTACCAGCCTTTACTCTTTTCCTGTAAACCAATGGTTGTTGCCAGACAGAAAAGAATATCCACCCCTCACAACCTCATGGCACAGACCACCATTTCAATTTTTTTTTTTAAATTTTCTCCCACTTTGATTTTATTGCTTAGCCCTGAGGCGGGGGGTGGGGGGCTTCTATCCAAACTGAAAAGGAAATGTATTCTTCCAGAGTCTTATTTGAAACTTGATCAAATTGTGTTTTTTTTTTTTTTTTTTTTTTTTTGCTTATGTGTACATTAAATCGAAAAAGCACGTAAATCACTCAAATACATCACAGATTTATACATGTATGCATTACGTATTTGCATATAAAGTAAAAAACAGACAGTGTATGACTGATATAGAATCAGTTTTTATTTTATAATTAATTGAAAAGAAATGTTTTATGTCCATGATATTTGACTTTCTTTTTTTTTTTTCTTTTTTAAAAATATAAAACAAATTTTGATTATTTACTCTTTTCAAATGTTTTTGTCTTTAGATTAATGATCGTGTTGGTGTGATGCGGAAAAGTGATAGTTCACTACATTTTTTTGTCAACCATGTTGATCAAGGAATGGCAGCCACAAATGTCCCTGAGAATGTCTATGGAGTTATTGATCTTTACGGTCAAGCAGCAGAAGCCACTATTGTAGATCAGTCAGGTGAGAGATTGCTACTTTTTTTTTCTTTATTCAATTATTTTTACTATTAAAGATAGTAACAATTATTATAATAACTATTAATAATAATAATCAGCTTAAGTATAAGAATTAACAAGCAAATCATAAAGAAAAAATACTTAACCTAGATCATCTATAGTAATCATTTTTCCAGTTTAAGAGAAAATCCAATTTATGCCCAATTTTAAAATTCATGGATATTTTTTACCCTAATATTTTGACATTTTCCTTAAAGATTGAGATGACTCCAGTTTTTTTTTTTTTTTTTTTTTTTTTTTTTTTTTAATGCATTATTTTCTACACTGGATAACTTTGATCTTAAAATGATTTCTGTGTTTATTTCTTTTGTTTGTTTTAAGTACCCTGGCTCTACAATTTTTAAAATATTTAGTGAAAATTAAATTTTGGATTATTTAATTTCGTCATGATAATGATTTCTTTCAAAAAGATTTTTTTTTTTTTTTTTATATATAGAAACTTTAAGTTCACCGGAGATGGATTCTAGTATTACTACAGATGGTGATGATTTACGCTTTCACCATCTCCATGGTACTAATGCTACTGTAATGAACAATGGTAAAACTGCTGCCAGACCAAATGCCACTGGAGAATTTAATGATGCTATTGTGATGAGTAATCGACCATTGAAAGATAATGAACTGTTTGAAGTTGTTATTGAAAAAATGGTTGACAGGTGGTCTGGTTCTATAGAAGCTGGTATGTTATCTTTCTTTTTATAGGTGTGCCACTTATTTTCTGTTGTATGAGAATCTTGTTTATTGTTGGTAATATATTTGCAAATATTGGGTAGACCTTTTTTTTTTTTTTTTTCATTTTGACTATGTATTTATCTTCCAGCTCACTTAATAGTTATTTATGTAGCATTATTCTTAGAATCGTATGCTTTAATGAATTAAAATTACTTATACTTTAATGTTCACAAAATACTTTAAATTTTTGAGTATTCATTGAAATATACAAATATCTTTTTTAGAGAAAATATTTTTTTTATTACTGCCAAATTAAATATAAAAGTAACAAAATTAACTAATTGAAATTTGCCAATCAAAATATATTAGGAAATGTTTTTATGCCTACCGTTTTCATGCCATTGCTGTATGGATTAACTGGATATGATGGCACTAAAAACTGAGCTATAAAATTTGTTTAGTGTGAAGTTTTCTTTTTTACTTTTTTTACAAAAAATTTTGTGTGTCTCGTTTTGTCGTTTAGGACTTCATCAACTGTGAAGATTATATTGAATCAATTGCTAGGTCTACTGCTAGGAAAGTGGGCTCACTGTGTCATGCCAGACAATTTTTCTCATCAGAATCCATCTTGCACATCTATAAGTCTGCCATTCATTTGTGTATTGAATACTGCTGCCATATCTTGTCTGGTGCTCTCTGCTATATTTCTAGAGATTCTCGACAAAATCCAAAGAGTCTATAATGTAATTGGTCTGTGATGTAGTTGCCTTCTGTTTTCTATAAATATTTTCATGGCAACTGTTCTGATGATGAGCTTTCTTTTTTGATGCCTTGACTACGTAAATTCTACTACTAGAGTGGCAATTAGGTCTCACCATTTTACTATTGAACTAGCTAGATGTACCCACAAGTTCTATTCTAATAATTTCTTTTCTTTCCTGTGGAACTCTCTTCTGCTTTCTGGCATCCCTACTATCTACAGCCTTCAAAAATTGTAATGCAATACCAATCACTATCTTCTGTTTTCCTGTCAGGCTTTTATCTGTAAAAAAGAAAAAAATGAATTATTGGTGGGAAGGTTCAACCTCTGCTGCCATGCCACTAAAATCTTCATAGGCCAGTATAATAAAATAGGTGGTATTATTTTTGGGAGTGATCATTGTATAACATTAATTGATCCATTATTCTTTCAAATATAAAAATATAATTGTTCTGTACAGTAAGAATGGGAGTTTGGGATGAAAAACAAAATCTAACAAATTGATTTATGAAGAAAATAAATATAACAATTTATTAATAGCTAAACCTTCAAATTCTGAACTTATGTTGTTTGTTAGAATTTTGTAAATTAGGATATTTATTTTAAGCTCATAAATTTATAAAATTTAACGCATGACTGAAATTTAAACCTAGCTAGTGAATCTTTTATGCATGTATTGTACAATGTTTACTTTTCATTCTTGAAATTTGTGTAGATATTAAGGTTATCTACATATGGATGAAAATCTAAATTTGTATTTGATAATTTCCAAGTTGATTAAAATAACTTTTAGAGTTATAAATTTTACAATTTAGACATTATCAAAAATTCTAAGCACATTTTTGTAATTTAAAAATCATTAGAATATTCTTGTTTGATAAGAATTAATTTTTAACTCTTTATATTGTATCTTTGCATTAGGTGTGTCCCTGATAAAGCCTGAAGAACTTGAGTTTCCTGCCACTATGACTGATATTGAATATGATACCTGGATGCTGAGGTTTGAAAGCTACTTTTTCTTTCATCATTTAAATGATGTGTAAATGTATTTCTGAAAAAAAAGTTTGTAATCTTTTTTAGTGAATTTCACAAATATTTGTATATAGATTTATTCAACTTCATGTGTGTCATTTTGTTAAACTACTTTTCACTATTTTTGAGGCAGCCTTATGATTCCATTCTCCCAGAACTTGTAGTATATTATTTTAAGTAAATTAATTTGTACATTGGATGTTTTTGGTTTGTTTATGGAATATTTATATTTCCAATATAAAGAGGCCAAAATGAGAACTTTGACATTTCAATGGAGTCATGTGGTGTGCAATATGCAAACTTGTCTGAAATATGTTGTTCAGGTAATATTTATATTTCCGATATATTGATGATGCTTTATTAATATACCTCTTCAATATAGTATTACCTGATATGCAATGGAATTTACTTATGAAACAGAAACAAACAATACATTAGCTTTCCATAATATCATGCTATACCTTACTGATCATGACCTAAAGCTAAGTGTCTATTAAAACACACCAATAGAAATGATCTTATAAACTTCTATTCAAACTGTAACAACAAAATAAAATCTGGGATAATTATCAGCTTCTATTTAAAAGCACTTTGAATTTGCAGCCCTCAATATTTACATGAAGATAAATACTTTTAAACTTCTCCAATACTCTAATTATTTCATATATGAGTAAAGAAGAGTGCTTACCATATTCACAGAATTAGAAAAATAGATATTTTATCTTCATAAAATTTGGCACCTACCAACTCAATATGGCTTGCAAAGAATTTATCTAAACAATATAAAATTTACTACAACTACTTAAAAAGCAATAAAATATTTAATACTAAACCAAATAACCTAAAACATGAAGCAGAAATCTATAGAATAGACTGTGAAAATGTCAAGAATGCTCAATTCATTAGTTGTTCATCATAAATCATCTGACAATAATATTTACTTAAAGTATGCAGTTGTAAAAGAAAAAGTAATTTAATTTATCAAGAAAAAATATATATAGAGTCCACTAATTTCTGAGTCTTCCAAGGTAAATTTACATCTAGGATCATACAGTATATCACCTTTCTTAATATAACTACTGTTATTACAATGTGAGATATTTTAAAACAATAGTGGTAAAAACCTGAATGAAGTTGGCTAGGGTGTGTTTCTAGTCATATTGGATGCCTAAAATTTAAATATTCCCATATCTTTTAATGTTCTCTCAATGTAGAATAATAACCAATGTTTGTATTTCACTCTTTTCTCTATTGAGTAAAATTATTAGTCAGTAAAAGTCCTTTTGAAGAAGACTTTTTTTTTTTTTTTTTCATTTTATCATTCAATTATACATTAGCACTCTGATATATAGTTTGTATATTATATTCTCCCATAATAACAAAGATTATTAATGTCTAACAAAAAAAACATAGTAAATTATTGGAGCTTAACATATGTAAAGGCAAGCAGATTTTTTTTTTAAATAAAATGTTCAATATTAAAAAAAAAAAGAGCAACAATACTTAGATAAAATTTCAAAGGACATTTCTTTTTGCAGACAAACCATTCTTCTCATTCAATGCAAGGGGAGTTTATTGAATTCAATCGTAGATATGTTTATTTATTTTAAAAATGCTTACTTGAAAAAAGAAATGCATGTCATTGATTCCAAGTAAATTTCAAAGCTATTCTATACTAAAAATATTGTGACTGCATTTCAAAGTTAAAAATTGCTGTAACATAACATTTAATTTGAAATTATTTGATTATATTTTTATAACTTGAGCTTTTATAAAAGATGTTTATGTAAAATTCTTAAGGAAATAATCCCAGCAAATGTTACTGACAATCATATAGTTTATCAAATATTAAACACATTTAAATTACTGCAATATTCATAATTACTATTTTCTTATGCAAGTTTATTTTATTTATTTTTATTTCCTATATAAATGATAAGTTTAATCCATGCTGAGAGATCTATTTTCTTTATTAAACTCTTGAATGCCTAGACTGTTTGAAAAAGTCAGTAAACATGGAAAAACATGTCTGCAGCCACAACACTATTTTAACTACTTTCACTCTTTGGCAATGTTTATGGTTTTAAAAAGGGGTGGTTAGAATTGGAATAAAACTTAAACACATGATGAAAGTGAATTTATACATATTTTTTGTTCTTGAGAATTTATAAGAAAAATACTAAAGTTTTTTTTATTTATTAGATTTTTTACAAGAATAATTTTATATTTACAAAATCCTAAAAACTAATACAATTAGAACTAATATAATATTCATTATTTTACTAATTTATAAAGAAATAAATGTTAAAACAATTTTATATTCATAAATTTATGAATATTTATTAAATTAAAATATGTGAACAAAGCATATGGAAATCCTTACTTAACATTTTATAAAGTTTGAATAGATTGGCAATTAGCTGATGTTTTGCCAAACACTCCAATAAACAATCTAATAAAATAATATCATTTTTATTGTCAATTCTCAAGAACAAAGAAAATGTATAAATTCACCTTCGTCATATATTCAGGTTTTATTCCAATTCTAGTCATCACTTTTTAAAACAATAAACATTACAAAAGAATGAAGATAGTTAAAAACAATGTCATGGGGGTGGGGGGAATGGCCATTTGACACTCTGTCTTATTGCAGGTACATTTATCCATGTTTGCTAAAATGTATACTAAATAACATTTATAATAAAAAATCTCAGATTATAAATAAAATCCATGAATTCCTTAGAAATCTATGTAAAATCTACACTTATTTTATATACACAAGTTTTTATAAAATTGATGAAGAAACAATAGATGGAAAAGATATTTTTAATCATTAAGTTTGATGTTTTTACTTTAAAATTCACCATTTACTTGTTTTAATCAATTTTTATGAATTTCATATGTATATTAGTGAATGACTTTTTTTTTTTTAAATCCTCATACCTTGTTAATTGCCTTTTTTTTCTTTTAAATTTATTCTAAATGTTCATAGAAAAATTCTAGTTTTATTTTATTTTATTTTATTTTTTTTTTTTTTTTTTTTTTCAAGAAACATTTTTAAAAATTCATAAAATGTGGGGTGTAAAGTAAATTAACATCCAATTTTATGTTAAATAATTTTTATATTGTTACATTTTCTTTGATATTTTAATGGGTCAGTATGGCCTATATTTTATTTGCTGTGATAAATGTAAATGATGGTCACTTTACTTTTTATTTATTTATTTTTTATTTTTCTTTAAGCATTCAATTTATTTAGAAAAAAAAAATTAAAATTATTTGTACTTTTTAGCATTTTTTGTTTCATGTACCATACTGCTCATTTAACATATTAAGAAATTTCAATACGATTTTAAAAAATATTTTATTTTCCAAGTTTGTTTCTTTAATTATTTATATCCTGTTTGATAACAAATGAAGTATATTTTCTACTTAAATGTCTTCATTATCAGTGGTTCTGCAATTATGCAAGATGGATCAACAATAAGGAATGGCTATCCTCTAGATCTTGATTGTGTATCAGTTGGGTGCCGAATTGGCATGATGCGCACATCAGAAGGAAATCTTCATTATTATTTAAATGGAGTAGACCAAGGCGTAGTGTGTAGAGATTTACCTTCAGGTAAGTATCTTTATTATTTTACAAGTTTGGTATTAAAGGCACTTATGTAATATTTATAGTTTAGATCTTCATTGACCTTTTGAAATTTTCATTCTCATAATTTTTTTTATATCAAAAATAAAAAAAACTTTTGCTTTTCATGAAACCTCAGATGGTTTCCCCATTAAAATAGTACTTTTACTTCTACCTTTTCTGCTGCCATACTGCTGGGTCCCTAAGACTGTACAGAATTTAACTATTCTTTTTCTCATACTAATTTTGTACCTTTCACTTCACTGGCAGCAAAATGATTAAATTTCAAATTTAGACTGTTTGTCCATTTAAAATACTACATTTATTAGAAAATATATTCAGTTTAAATACAGGAGTCGTAAAAATAACTTCAAAGAGCTGCACATGTCAATTTATGCTCTTTCCCTGTTAACCAGGGTTTGTTGCCAGACAGGGTGATTACTTTGCAGCACTAAAAAAAATACTTTAAAAAATAATTCTATTTATTACCAAATAATTTCTAAGAAGTTCAATAAATCTTGTAATTATTTTTTTTTTCCTTTATTCCAACTTTGATTATATTGCTTAACCTTGGGTAGGGGTTGTTGAGACTGAGTGGGAGAGGAATTTATTATTCTAATGTTTTATTTTGAATTCACTCAAATTGTGTGTATATTAAATGGCATAAGAGTATGTCATTCATGCACAACAAGCATTACATGAATGCAGTTACATGCAGAGTATGTGACAGAAAATTAGTTAAAAGATGACAGAAGGTAATAGAACACAACTGTTCACTATAGTTCATTCAAAAAAAAATTAAAATAAATTAAATATTTTAATTGAAAATAAGTTAATAGATTTTTATGTTTGCTTTAGATTCTGAGAATTCTAATAACTAATTCACTGAATTTTTATATACTAATTGCAAGGTAATGACTAATATATTCATTTTTATTACATTATGTTGTAATATTTTCTTTTATTTAAGGCATTAAAAGCATTTTGAAGGAAAAAAAAATTGATTTTCCTAATTAGAAAAAAAATATATAGACTCCACATACATGAAAACTTAAATTGTTTTTATTCTAATGATCTCACGTAATAAGATACATTTTCTTAATTTCTTTCTCTCTAGTTTAATATTGATTTTTAGTGTTCTGTCTATATTTACATTATTCGGACTATTTTCCTCATCTTTGTCACCATATTTATTACGTCTCAGCTGTTGTACACTCCAGCCTTCTTCAGGTGGTTGGAATGTCGAACTGAACCCTTTATTTCGCTCACTGGGGTAGACTGTTCTGGTTCCACGTGCCATGTTTAATGGATGTCGATTATCTCCTGTTAATTTCCCTGCCTTAACCGGGTATTGAACTCACACTCTTTGGGTCCTGTCACTGGATCTAACCAACACCTTTATCCGCTGTGCCATGTGTCCTTGATCTAAAGGATCATCTGTGTATGAATTTCTGGGTATTATAAACCTAATGTTTTCAGCTCAATTTTTTTCCAGAGCTCATATTGCAATTTTTGTTATCATTTTTCTCTGACACTCCTTATTACTGGTTCCCATATTGTATTCATTTCTATGCTTGGTCGGCTCAGGAGATTTTGTGGCCTAGCATATGTGCTGATTCCTTAAGTTTACAAATTTTCCAATGGTGTTCTTTGTCTATGATCTCAACCTGATCCCACAGAGGGCAGTGATTTCCCTTCTCTCTCCATATGTGGTCAGCCACGCCTGATTTTCCACTTCCCCCTCATGTTACAGCTTTCTTGTGTTCTTGAAGCCTTACCTGAAGTGGGTGGCCTGTCTCCCCTTTATATTTCTTTCCGCAACTGCACGGGATAGCATACACACAGTCTAGTCATGTTCTCCTTTATAGGGGGGGGTCTTACTCGGGAAAGATATCTGAAGTTTTGTCAAGCTTTTGAAGGTTGTCCTGATGTTATATGGACCGCAAATCATTTGTATTTTCTCTGATAATCTCTTCACATAAGGCAGGCAGACTTTTTTCTGAGTGTTGTTGTCCTCCTCTAGGTACCTGCCTATCCCAGATCTTTGGGGCTGCTGCAATGTACCTAGGGTAATTGTTACGTTGTAGGTTACTACTTATACTGACCAATTCTTTATCTAATGTCTCTGGGTCACCCCATTTGACTTTTGTGAGCAGCAGACGATCCCTTTCTTTACACTGTATGGATGGTAGGAGTTGAAATTGAAGTACTGTCCAGTGAATATCGGTTTACGAATGTCTTGAACCCATGCTCTGTTAGAGATATTAGCACATTCAAGAATGGAAGTGTGTTGTTACTGTCTTTCTCCATTGTGAACTGTATCGAAAGTCTTATTGAGTTCACATGTCCAGTAGAACCTGAACATCTTTCTGGTGTGGCCAGAGTATGAAGGTGTCATCTACGTACTTTAACCATATAGTTGGCTTTAGAGATATAGATTCTAATGACATTTCCTCAAAGTATTCCATGTATATATTCGCCATTGCTGGTGATAATGGCAAGCCCATTGCTAAGCCCTCATACTGTCGATATATTTGTGATCCCATTCCGGTGTGTTTGTGTACAGAAAGTCAACATCTCCATCAGATTATCTATTGGAATACTGGTCCATTCTTCTAGAGATGAGTCAGAGGCCAATCTGTCTCTGATTACTGAGAGTGCCTCCTCTGTGGGTACCTTGGTGAACAAACTCACCGCATCCAAGCTCACCATCTGGTTGGATAGGATGGGAGCATCTTTGATTATTTCCATGAAATGGGCGGAGTTTCGGACTTATGAAGGAGACTTTCTGATCAATGGGTCAATTATATCTACAAGGAAGTGACTCAGAGGGTGGCACACAAAGCCTTGGCAACTAACAATCAGCCTGAGTGGAATACCATCTTTGTGAATCTTAGAGAGGCCATATATGTGAGGTAGCTTGGTGTAACACTGCGTTAACTGCATATACATCTTAGGTGCAAAGTGATCCTTGTTCTTGATTATTATTGGTGACAGTTTTCATTCCATTTTCATTGTAGGATCCTTTTTTACTTTGCTGTAGCTACCATTGCTAATGAGGTCTTCCAGCTTTCTTGTATAATCTAATTTGTCCATTACTACAGTTGCATTGCCTTTGTAAGCCTGTAGTGTGATGATGTTTTCGTTCCTCTGTAGGGATCCGATCGCCAGCCTCTCCAGTTTTGTTATGTTAGACCTGGGCAGCTTGGCCTTCTCCAAGATCTGTCTGTCTCATCTTCCATCTCAGTTCATCCACCTGAGCCTGAGGGATGTTCAAGGCCACCTCCTCGACTCTGGCAATGATGTCCAAGTATGGCACTCGCCTAATGGTTGTGGCAAAGTTATTCAATACTGACTCCTCAGAGGCACTCAGCTGATATTGGCTGATGTTGACTACTGCTTTCACTGTTGGGTGATGGACCTTGTGCGTCACCTTCTGATCTTTCAATCTATTTAATTTTGTACTTGGCGAGGACACCTGGCACAGTGGATAAAGGCGTTAGATCAAATGACAGGACCCAAAGAGTGTTAGTTCAATACTCGGTTAAAGCAGTGGAGAACTTTCAGAGGGAAAATTAACAGGAGATAACTAATAACTGACATCCATTAAACATGGCACTTGGAACTAGAACAGTCTACCCCAGTGAGTTAAATAAAGGGTTCAGTTCAACATTCCAACCACCTGAAGAAGGCCAGAGTGTACAACGGCCAAAACGTAATAAATATGGTGACAAAGATGAGGACAATAGTCCGAATAATGTAAATAATGTACTGATTTTTAATCTCTCCATAATTCTCATTTAAGATTTTAAATTTTACATGTTGCATATATGTTTCTATTTGTTTGTAATTTACTTGTTTAGCTGTTACAAACTTAGATTTTTTAAAAACAAACTTTTCTGTTATAATGGCATTTGAAATTTTAACTTTTTTATCAAAAAAAATCTGATAAACATTTTATTTATTTACTTATGTATGAAATGGTTGTTGCATTTTTAACAACAATTGCTTTTGTTATATTTGTACATTATTCTTTCAAAATATCTTTATTTACATATAGTGAATGGGGGGGATTTTATTTTTTTTTAACCAAGCTGAACTTAGTCTTTTAGTATTTTTATATATTGTTTCTTCCAAGTATGACTTATTTTCATCATCCTTTTTATGGTAATATGCATTATTGTTCTTTTTAGGTTTATATGCTGTGATTGATTTGTATGGTCAGTGTGCCCAAGTGACCATTACTTCTGGATCTAGTTCTATTCCTACAGACAATAATGTAACAAGTGCTGAAATGGACCAGTCTTTAGCTTTACCTGTCAATACAGGTTAGTGTCATTTTTTTTTTTTTTTTTTTTTTTTTTTTTGGGACATTCCATTTCAACTTACGCAAACACTGCAATACTATCCTTCTCAGATAAATTTTTTTTTTTTTTTTTTTTTTTTTTTACATGTTAAGATACCCCACCAAAAAAAACAAAGAACAATTATAGAATTTTTTGTTCTATATAGTCACTGGAACACCATTTTCAGCATATCTGAAGATTTTGCCATTTTCCCTAATCTGATGCTATTTCATAATAATTCAATGAATTTTGATCCAAATACTTTGAAAATCTGAAGGACTTGTAAAGTAAAACTCTTCCAGTGATTCCATAGCTGGAGAATTTTTGCAGCAACCCTCTATGCCACACCTTGTCAAAGGTCTTTGAAATATGTAATTCAATCATCCTTGATGTATTTGTTGTCTAGGGCCTAATTTTGAATTGAAAAATGTTCCAGTCCTTTTGACAAGCTATAACTTGGGATATACTTTTGTTTATTGTATATGACTAGTATGAAAATATTTGAACTGTGGTGTGTCAATTTGAAAAATTGCTGGTTGACTCGTCATTGAATAAGGATCATGTTTAGATAAAATCATTGAAACCTGATTCTTGTTTTAGGAAAATATTAAAATTTTAAACTGAAGTATGTCTAATATACCCACCACAGCTGTTTGAGGTTTCCTATAGCCCTATTGAACTTAAATAAAGTCAATTCACATTTGCTATGGTAAAAATTCTCTATCTCAAGTAAAAATCATCACAAAAAATGGCAAAAGTCATTTTGTCACAGCTTATTTTCTCTGAAAAAAATGGATTTTCATACTTTTATAGGGGTAAAATATTGATGACTGTTCTATCATCATCTAAACAAATATCAAGGAATCTTTTGATCTGAACCCAATGTAACAAGTATTTTCTGAAAGCAAAGGATATACTCTTTCATTTAAAAGTAAAATTGGCTGGTGTAAATGACTCAAATTTTTATTTCAGGGGGTAAAATTTGAAAAAATAGTGAAAATTTTGCATTTTTTTCTAGTTTTAAACAAAAATTTTCCCCATTACAGGCATAAAATTGAGTTTTGAAGGAAATCAACATTCCTAGGTGGTCAAAATTCGACAAAGTCCATTGGTAATTTTCAATTATATGACTGCCAGGGGTTAAAAAAAATTGACACCTGGCTACAGAAATCTTTAGTAAAAGGCAAAAGATTTATGTGCAATTCCTGACCACCATAAACCAAAAGTAAAATTAAGCCAAATTGACTTTGACAGGTCTGGGTCAAAGGTCAGCCAGCCAGCCAACAATAGACGTTTAGAACAAGTTGTCAGCTTGTGATAAAATCTACCCCTCCCAGATAAGAGCAAAAAGTGAAAGAAAAGTGGGGTCAATAAGGGCTTTTTTTTTTTTTTTTTTTTTTTTCAAACCTATATTTGAACAGTGGCTTGATGTGTTTTGTTTTGTTTTTAACACCCCATGACCCAGTGATGACAACAACACTTAGTAGACATTGTTTTTTTTTTTCCACACATGTCTTTTGTATTTCCCATCACCAGACCATTTAGCCATTCCTTTTATTCAATGATATTCACACCAAATTAAGGAGAAAGGGATGAAGTTTGAATGATATTAATTTGAAATGAAAATAAATATTTTTTCATAAAAAAGGGCGGGGGGATTTTTCTCAGAAAATTGGGCATGATTTCTTAATGCTAACTACTGAGTGACATTTTCTACAGCCAAATTGAAGATTAATTACCAGTGAATAATTCCATGTGCAAACAATTTCCGTCTGGACCCTATAATGTCACCCGAAAAGGTCCAGAAGTTTACTGATTGATCGAAATCTTGTTGCACATAATTGTGTTTTTCACAGTCAGTTTCCATTATTTCATCTTGATGTTGTCATTTTCAGACATCCAAGTCATCAAGGATTCAGGAAAACAGTTTGGCACAGGTTTGCTTTAAGAACTTTACATTCTATGAGGTGTTTACAATGTTACTGACGAATGCGATTCTTCGCCGAATATTTCATTTATGCGCCATGTTGGATTTTCCTATATGACAAAAATAAGTGTTTTAAACAGCAGTGCCATGCTGATTTAGTCTTTATGCATGTGTGTGTTTTGTTTTCTTTCTTATAAAATGATGAAGTTATAAATTATTATTTTTCTTTTCTTAACAGAAGTTTGTCACCGCTTTAGTCAGTGCTGTGGCAAGAATGTGGTGATAAAACAAAATGGTAGTATTGCTTCCCGAACAAGAAACTTTAAAAATGCTTTGGTCTTCAGTTCTGATCCTCTCAGATATGATGAATTGTTTGAGGTAAGAATTTTCTATGTGTTTCCACCCCCACCCAACCCAAATTGACCTATAGCAGCTTGTCAATAAACAATACTGGATGATTTTATTTATTTACACAATATAAAAATGAATAAGAAATGATTCTATCTTGTTTCCTGTCCTTCCACATATGTTGTTTACCTGTCTTGATAAACTATCAAAGTATGTGAGGTTTGAACATTTGATATTAATATTATGATTAAAATTATGGTTTATAAGGGTTGTTTTTTTTTTTTTGTTTTTTTTATTTAATAAGAATATAGATTTGTCTATTTCATCCATTGCCATTTTCAAGGATTTGGGATGTGCTATTGCAAATACTAGAAGTTAAACCAGCATGAAAACTTAACAACTTCCAAATACAACATACTTATTAAAAACACAGCAATACACTTCTTGAACTACAAAAAAATATCTAAAAATAAGAAGCTCTTATAAAAAAAAAAAAAAAAAAACTATTAACAGCTTCAGCTATGAACATGGCCATAATGTACTAGCCATATTTGGAAATTCAAAATGTCAGCAACTTAGCATTTGCAATAACACTACTGAAATACTTGAAAAATGGTTAATAGATTAGCTGCAAGCAAATTAGGATTAAAATCATTTGAACAATTTTTATATACACACTAAGTCCCAAAAAGAAATCTCTTTGTGAAACACAAAACTTTAATAGAAATACCTAATAATTCATTTTTAATGAAGTGTTTGTGTGAGTTAAGTTGAATGAAAATCTGGATTAATGATAAATATAGAAGATAATTTCTATTTTGACTTGTTTTGTGAATGTACAATTTTTACCAGAAATATAATTCTGAAATATATGATTTTCTAAAAAGCTAGGCTACAATTTTGTGTGTAAACATTTAGCACACCTTCTTGAAAGTATTATGTATACATTTTAATTCCTATTCTCTCTCTCTCTCTCTCTCTCTCTCTCTCTCAATAACGTTTTTTTTTTTTTTTTTCCCCTCATATTCTCTAACACTCAATAACCTCCTTGTGTCTTAGTTGCTTGCTTGGGGTGAAATGGTGAAAATACTGATATATAAAATCATTGGGTTTTTTTTTATTATTATTATTATTAACCTCCCTTTGAATTTTTTTTCCCCACTTTCGTATTTTACATTCATTTTCAATTTGGGTAAGTGTTCATTTCATCGATCTTCAGTTTAAAATGTCTTTAGTTCTCATTGTAGATTTTTCATTTATTTTCTTAGTAGATATAGATGTTCTGTCTGTTACCTTTTTCTTTCTTTTCTTGCAAATTGTTAGTAACTGCATATCTTAATTGTTTAATCTTCATTTTAGTATTTCTGATATAATATTTACCTAATTCACTATTTATTAGTCATAATGTTGACTTGATCTTATTTTAATGACTTTCTTGCTGTATGGAAAGATTATATTAGTTGAAATTGGATTTTAAGTGAAATTATAAGATAGTCTTCATTGATATTTGCCTCTAGTGTTGTTTTTTAGCTTGTTTTTTTATTTATTTATTCTTTTATATTCTGAACTATTTTTTCTTTTTTAGCTTTATTATTATATTTTAGTATAACTATAATTGTTTTGCATACATTGTTTATATTTTATTATTTCTAATCAATAACTTAATTTTTCAGGTGAAAATTGAACAGTTATCACCTTTATGGTCAGGTTCTTTGCAATTAGGATTGACCACATTGTCTGTAACTGATTCTACTGTTCATACTTTACTACCTGAGTCTATTGAGGATCTCACGTCTAAGGCCACCTGGGTAGTGAGTGGGTCTGATGTTAAAAAGAATGGTACAGTAATCAGAGAAAACTATGTACCTTCACTTGATAGATTACAAGTAAGTTAGATTTTTTTTTTTTTTTTAATTTAATCCTAAAATAAAAGAAAAAACTGGTTAATGCAGTTTGAGGAATAAAAATCCAACAAAATGATAACCATATTGGCAATAAGATTGATATTTATTATATATTAGTAGGTCTTTTGACTAAATTAAAATTGTGCTTCAATTTAGTCAAAGGGCCTAGTAATATATAAATATTATCAAACTTATTGACAATATCATTATCATTTTGTTGCCCTTTTATTCCTCAAATTTCATTAACTAGCCTATTAAATTTATACATTATAAGAAGCTCACATGGACTTTCATTTTTAATTAAATGCATACACTGTTGCTTTTTTAATACAGTATATTAAATGTACTTGATACACTATGGAAAGCAATTTCAACTATTAAAAATGACTAAAAAATCTTGTTTTCTCTCAGAAAAGTACATCTGTATCTATAAAAAAAAAATTCTAAAAATTTTTATATATTTTTTGTCTCTACAAATTAAGCCCTAAAAGATATTTTATTCAATTAATTAAACTTTTGTTTTTCATATTGTAACAATTTTTAACAAAAAAGAATTTCCATTTCAATTTTCAGGTTGGAAACCACATTGGTGTAAAACGTTGCAGTGATGCAACAATGCATATCTGTATCAATGGTGAAGACATGGGAGTTGCCGCCTCAAACATTCCTAAAGTAAGTACACAAATAAAGCCATTTGGCATTGTGACAATTTTGTATATTTTGAGATATTTGAATAAAGATACATTTGCTTTGTATAAACTTTCATTGGCAAATAAATGACAAGACAAAAAAATCTAGTTGATGCATATTTTCCAAGAAGGAATTTCTACAAACAAAATAAGTTATTAATAAGTTCATTGAGAAATACAACAAATGCTGGTTACATTGAAACGTTAAAGATACAAAAGTGTTCAACATTTTTAATTTTGTCATCTGATATATGTAAATTTTAAACTTTTCCATTCATTCAGTTTTTTATCATTTATTTTTATCATTAACCACTCTGTCAAAGAAAACATTGATGTCTTAATAATCCCAGAGTCCTCAAATTATGACAACTTCCCCATACTTATGGAAGAAGTGGAAGCAGCAGTAAAGTAAGGTAGCTGTAATTAGTAACATTGCAGCTGAATTCTTGACACATGGCAGTAAATCAGTAATAGACATGCTAACAATAATGTGTAAGAATATCTGGTAATCGGGCAAGTGGCCCAAAACATAGATTCAGTCTCTGGTTATTCCACTTCCCAAAAAAGGCATCCTCCAACAATGTCAAAACTACATGACTATTTAGTTCAATGCAAGTAAAATGGTGTTGAAAATTATCCTGAATAGACTAATGTCTCATGTAGAAGAAATCATCAATGATGAACAGATATTCAATTTTTAGAAAAAAAAACAAAAAAAAAAACAGCACCAACAAAACCCCTACCACAACTTTATAGATTTGAAAAAACCAAAAAAAAAAAAACCTTTAATGGTGCGATACAAGGTATTGTGGGCAAGAATGGCCAAATGTAAGTAAGAAGTTGATTCATATTATCCAGCAACTGTATGATATGACAAGCAAGACAATACTGTTCCAGGGATCCATAAGAAAGTTATTCCACATATCAGTCAGCATCTTCAAAGGTTGTCTTCTGTCCCCCTGCACTATTTAACAGCTTTTCTTTTTAATCTTTCTGAATAATGACCTTGAGGAACACTAAGGTATGGTCAGTATTGTGGATAACATAACAAACCTTTACTTTGCAAACAACATAGATGGTTTAGATGTCAAAGAAGTGGAACTTGTCAGTGTTGTGAAGAACCTTGATGAAACATTCTCTTGATATGAAATGAAGATTAATGACAGGAAAACTAAACTGATGACAAACAATGAGAAAGGGCTTTTAACCAAAATAAGTTTGTGTTCAGAAACTTTTAGTGAACCAATTCAAATATCTTTCTTTCTTCTTCTTTTCTTTCTTCTTCTTTTCTTTCTTCTTCTTTTCTTTCTTCTTCTTTTCTTTCTTCTTCTTTTCTTTCTTCTTCTTTTCTTTCTTCTTCTTTTCTTTCTTTCTTCTTTTCTTTCTTTCTTCTTCTTTTCTTTCTTTCTTCTTCTTTTTTTCTTTTCTTCTTTTTCTTCTTCTTCTTTTCTTTCTTTTTCTTCTTCTTTTCTTTTTCTTTTCTTTTCTTTCTTTCTTTTCTTCTTTTCTTTCTTCTTCTTCTTTTCTTTCTTCTTCTTCTTTTCTTTCTTCTTCTTCTTTTCTTTCTTCTTCTTCTTTTCTTTCTTCTTCTTCTTTTCTTTCTTCTTCTTCTTTTCTTTCTTCTTCTTCTTTTCTTTCTTCTTCTTCTTTTCTTTCTTCTTCTTTTCTTTCTTCTTCTTCTTTTCTTTTTCTTCTTCTTCTTTTTTTCTTCTTCTTCTTTTCTTTCTTCTTCTTCTTCTTTTCTTTCTTCTTCTTCTTCTTTTCTTTCTTCTTCTTTTCTTTCTTCTTCTTTTCTTTCTTCTTCTTTTCTTTCTTCTTCTTTTCTTTCTTCTTCTTCTTCTTCTTTCTTCTTCTTTTCTTCTTCTTTTCTTTCTTTCTTCTTCTTCTTTTCTTTTCTTCTTCTTCTTTTTCTTTTCTTCTTCTTCTTCTTCTTTTCTTTCTTCTTCTTCTTCTTCTTCTTTCTTCTTCTTCTTCTTTCTTCTTCTTCTTCTTCTTTTCTTTCTTCTTCTTCTTCTTCTTTTCTTTCTTTCTTCTTCTTCTTCTTTTCTTTCTTTCTTCTTCTTCTTCTTCTTCTTTTCTTTCTTTCTTCTTCTTCTTCTTCTTTTCTTTCTTTCTTCTTCTTCTTTTCTTTCTTTCTTCTTCTTCTTCTTCTTTTCTTTCTTTCTTTTTCTTCTTCTTCTTCTTCTTTTCTTTCTTTCTTCTTCTTCTTCTTCTTCTTTTCTTTCTTTCTTCTTCTTCTTCTTCTTCTTTTCTTTCTTTCTTTTCTTTCCTTTTTTTCTCTCTCTTTATCTATTCACACCAAGCAGGGTGATAATGTCACTAACATGCATTGAGCTACTGCAGGTGAAAAAGAATGAAAAAACTTCAGGAGAAATCAGAAACAAGGAATAAACCCCTAGTCCTGTTCAAAAGACTTAGAAGTGTGAACTGGACAATAGGCAAACCTGTCAACTCCTATCATATTTTGGTTTGATTCTTAATAAAGAAGGCTCTAGAATATAAATAATTTCAAGAGCAGTACAAACAATGGTAGCTGTTGCAAAATAGAAAGACGAGAATATCTGTCCAAAATCAAAGCTCAAACTTTTGTGTTCATTGGCTTTATCACTCTTTTTCTATATTTACAAATCTTGAACATAAACAGCAGATTTAGAAATAACCCAAAAATTAGATCCTAGACATCTCCCACATAGACAACATCACAAATTATGCAGTGCGAGACACCATCAAACTAGAAATGAGTCCATTATAAGATCTCATGTCCACTGTCAAGAAGTGAAAGTCAAAATGGTATTGCTATGTCATAAGAGCCAACAATCTTTTCGTTACCATCCTACAAGGTACCACCTTAGGCAAACAAAAAGAAATGGGCTGGCAATGTCATTAAGTGAACTGGAAAATCTTTTATGGAGACTGCACACAATCAAGACATAAAAACGTAGCTGGCCAGGTGCTCCGCTTTACAGTGACTATAGCTAAACAGGAAATCATGAGATTGATGATTTATAATTGTTTTTACTTATTCTATAGTGTATTAGTCATACTTTTGATGAGGATAAATTATGTTCTATAATACTGAACATAAATTTACTGTAGAGGATTCTAAAATTAGTTCAATTTCAATACATTTTTGCCTAATAAATTTCTTTCTCTTAAACAGAATTGCATTCTTTAATTTGAAATTATGTTCAGGCCTATTACAATGAACAAATAATGCATTGTCTTTGTAAAGTAAAAAGAAAAAAAAATCTTATATTTATGTAATTTTTTTTTATTTGAATTTATAGTTATCTTACAAGTAGGTCATTTTTCCCTTTAATCTTCTCAGGAGGAAACATCCCTACAGAGATTTTTTTTTTTTTTTTTTTTTTTTTGTCCACTAGTATTTTGAGATATATATCTTTCATATTTTTTTTTATTTCTTGATCTTTTTAGTCATGTTAGATTGGATTTTATTCAATGTAAACTTTGATTTTTGACTTTTTTTTTTTTTTTTTTTTCAGAATGTATTTGCTGTGATAGACTTGTATGGTCAGAATGAAAGTATCTCTGTTGTGAGTAGAGCTTTGACAGAAGGGAATTCTAGCTGTGTCCCCACTCCTGCTTCACTGCCCTCAGACGTAATAGCATGTCACTGTGAAGTAAGTGTTCTAGCATATTTTATCATTTGATAATTTTTTTTTTCTTTAATACATTATTCTAAAAATCTTTTTGTCATAGTTTGGGGAAGCCATTACATATTTCCACCCTCCTCCTTTCCCTCACTCATTTACCCATGCTCTCTTACTTTGTCTACCCACTCTTTCCTCCCATGCCTTTTCACTCGTCTTCCTAGACCCCCCGGTACTCTCTCATTCCTCTAACCCTCAATTTTGTGCAGTGCTCTTTGGGCAAAAAGTCCTAAAATAGCAATCCCTTTCTCTAATACTAGACTGAACTAAAATAGTGGAGCACACAGGTGGGATTGAGCTTCCTACACTTCAGGAAGTTGAATATACTAACCATTGAGCTATGTGTCCACAATCGTTTGAATTTTTTTTTTTTTTTACTATAAGCAAAGGTTAATGCTTTGCATTAGGCAACTGCATAATTACTGAGTTTTTCATCAAGCCTCACATTACATTAAAACTAGATTTGTTTGTTGGAAAAATAATTTTTTAAATTTCTGAATTTTTAGATAGATGGAGACCTTGACCAAGATACTTCTGAGGAATTTGATGTAGATTTTCACCCAAATCACGGGAAAAATGTCATGTTAAGCACTCAGAGCCACATTGCTCGCCGGACAACAAGCTACAATCATGCTGTGACTGTTACACGGAAACCATTAACACGTAATCATATATTTCAGGTATGAATCTCATTTAATTTAAACTTCATTCTTTGTTTTGATTTTGGCTTTTTAATGCAAAAATTGTGCATAAAAATAAGATGTTGATAAATATTAGTTTAACTTAGCTAAATTTATTTTAAAAATGTGCTAATAAAATCACTTATGTTTAATATATAAGCAAATGCTATCTTTTATTTCATCTTTATTTTATTGGCTGTATTTTGAGTTAGAAACTCTATTATGATAAATTTTTTAAGTAATTTTAAGTCTATTAATCTTAAATTTAATTATCTTTGATTTACTAAAAGCTTTTGATGTTTTTAATTTTGCAAGAATGAAAGTTTTTTTTAAAAAAAAATCACTTTTATAATATAACTTTATTTACTGACAGGTTAATATTGATAAAATAAATCCAAAATGGACTTCATCCCTGATGATTGGTGTTTTGGGTTTTAATCCAGACCGATTTCATTTCCCAGTGACAGCAATTGATATCAGAAAATCTTCTATTGTCATTCATACTGATTCAGTATTTATCTGTGGAACAAAAGTAAGAATTTTTTTTTTTTTTTTTTCCCTTTTCCTGTTTCTTTTTTTTTTTTTTCCCTGTTCCTCTTTCTTTCTTTTTTTTTTCCCCCCCCAGTTCCTCTTTTTTTTTTCCCCCCAGTTCCTCTTTTTTTTTTTCCCCCCCCAGTTTTTTTTTTTTTCCCCCCCAGTTCCTTTTTTTTTTTTTTCCCCAGTTTTCTTTTTTTTTCCCCAGTTTTTTTTTTTTTTTTTCCCCAGTGTTCTTTTTTTTTCCCCCTGTTCCTTTTTTTTTTCCCTGTTCTCTTTTTTTTCCCTGTCTTTTTTTTTTTTCCCTGTTCCTCTTTTTTTTCCCTGTTCCTCTTTTTTTTCCCTGTTCCTCTTTTTTTTCCCTGTTCCTCTTTTTTTTCCCTGTTCCTCTTTTTTTTCCCTGTTCCTCTTTTTTTTCCCTGTTCCTCTTTTTTATTTCTACCCCTTTTCCTCTTTTTTCTCTCCCCTTTTCCTCTTTTTTCTCTCCCCTTTTCCTCTTTTTTCTCTCCCCTTTTTTCTCTTTTCTCTCCCCTTTTTTTCTCTCCCCTTTTTTCTCTTCCCTTTTTTCTCTCCCCTTTTCCTCTTTTTTCTCTCCCTTTTCTTTATCCCCCTTTTCCTCTTTTCTCCTGCTTTTTTTTTCTCCTTTTCCGCTGCTTTTTTTTTTTTTTTTTTTTTTTTTTTTTTTTTACACTTTTTATGTGTCATATAAACTCAGATAAGGGAATTTGAATTTTGTGCACAAATCAAATATAGTTTGTTTATTATTATTAGTAGTAGTAGTAGTAGGAATAGTATTATTTAGCTGTGTAAGCTTACAATGTGACTCCCACTTAATCTTTCCACTGACCAGTCAATTAATCTTCATGTTGCATTCCAATCCTCAATCTTATCAGTGTGCACTGAAGGCTGGGAAAGAAAAGCACACTGCATGCTCACAAGGTAATATGAAAGAAATACAACCTTGAGAAATAAGAATGCAAACCCTGTTTCTCATATTATATGTAGATGTTTGTTCAGGGTGTCACCTGCTTATCTGAGTGTGTAGGTAAGTGCAACTGAAGACAACTGTCAGCTCTTCCCCCTATCAAAAGCATCATACAACAATGTAAGTCACAGGAGCATTTACTCAAATTATTTGAAACGCTAAAGAACAGAACTACAATAAAAGTAATAAAAAGCTTTCTAGGAAAACAGAAATGGAATTAATTGCAAGTGTATGTGATTTTTTATATATATATATATATATATATATATATATATATATAATTAATGGATTTATTTTAATCTGATATTTTTATTACTTATTATTTTAGTGAATAATTGTATTTGAAATAGATACCCCATTTTTTTTATTTTTTATTATTATAAACTATATATAATGTCCATTGATCTGTTCATTCAAGAAATATTAAAGGAAAGGTCTACCCTCTTGTGTGTATATATATATATATATATATATATATATATATATATATAAAACACACTTTTTTTTCTAAAATCCTACCACAATTGGTAAGAATTAAGAATTTTTTTTTTTAAGATAAAAAAATTACTAGCTTTTAGAATTAATATAAATTTAATTAAAAATGTATTGTCCAAAAAACTTAAGTAGTTGTCT